GATCGAAGGCAGCGTCGGGAGGCCTTGCCCACCTGGGAAGAGACGAGGATGGACCTGGAGCTGCTGCACTGTGTCGGGTCGGCCTGGCCAGACTTGATGAGGTCCCGGTAGAAATCTCCTTTCCAGTGACTAGGTTCGATTAGTGTAAGGGCAAACTTCAGCTGTAGAGGGTAGTAATATTCCGCGATAACGGTCGGATGGGCCCTCATAAGGCCGCCTGAAATACCGTCACATCCTGGAGCCGACCTGCGTGACTGTCGACACGACCACTGGAATTCAGCTAGGGTGGGGATCGAAGCAAGATTGACGGGATCAGTCGACATACGCGCATATGGTGCGCGCCCGAAGTATCCTGCAAACGTCGGCACATCCTCGACTGAAATCGTAGCCGCAAGCTCGAGGCTGGCAAAGTGTTGTTGCCAACGCCTCGCGACTTGTTTCTCGGAGACAACGGCCTGGCCAGACAGGTCCCGCAACGCGGGCAACGCTCGCTCGAATCGTCGTCGCTTGGACCCAGCCCCGACCCGTCGCAAGGCGGCGTAGGCTTCGGCAAACTGTCGTCGATCCCAGGCATTGCGGACCCCCTGAGCAATGCTGGCACAATGCCACGCTGAATCCTGGCCAGTGGATTGTTGAATCACATAAGTAGCGGCCCGAAGAAACACCATACTGGCAGCCCAGAAAAATCCAAACCATCCCAGATAAAAGTTAAGAACGTTGGGCAGCTGAAACCGAAAACCACGTGGGACAGCGGCTAGCTCATGCGCAGTGGGCAGCCGTCCTAGGTATCGCAGTCCGACGATGTGGTCCTGGGTAAACGGTGGGTAGGTCAGCTTGCCTTGTGGTGATCGTAGGGGCGTCGCAAAAACCTTGGTGGCATCAAGAACCTGGTCGGCGGCGTCCGCGATCCGTCGACATATCTGCAAGAGGGGATGATGCGACGGTCCGTCACGGGCACTATGTCGGAAGCGGCGTGTCCGGTGACAAAACCACTCGCCCTCCATGGCCCCGTCCGAGGCCCACGCCACAAACACACGCGCCAGGAAAAGCCTGGGCAGTTGGGCCCGTAGGGCCCGAAACGCACGTCTCCCAAACGTGCGCTGATCCATAAGGTCGAGGGATCCCTGGGAAATCCAACTGCGACGGGGCTCGCGGCCATTGTCGGACCTTTTGGGTGGAAAGGCGATTGCGGCGGCCTCCAAGATATGCCTGTTAAGATATTCGGCATGATCATCTGGGTGCGTTGTGAAAGTCGGCGAGGGCACCATGCGGAGGGCATCTTCAAACGCAGCACGACACTCGGGGTCAGCATACTTAGCTTCGTCGTGTCGGGAACGCGTCCAAGTGATGGCTGGCTCGTACTGATCGGCACGGCACACGTACATATCAGCAGTTACCACAAAATGGTCGTCACATCGCATCGCTAGCTCGATCTCGACATCGACACCCTGACGAATGACGCTAGTTAGTTGGCCCACAGGGTTCGTTATGTAGTCGATTCGTCGTCGCGGATTTGGGCCCTGAGCCCCAGGTGGCAACCAAGTCCCATGGATCCCAGAGTATGACGGCAGGAATGTAGACAGAGCACACTGGTCCGAGTCACGCAGGAACTTGTGAAAGCGCTGTACATTGGCATTTTCAACCTCGGCCGCCACGTCACCGACGTGATCTGACACCTGTGAGCCCAAAGTCGCATTCGCATCCAATAGACAGTACAGAGGAGCCGGCTGGGTTCGCCCACGGAGCACTGACGTCACATGGCCCCACCACGCTTCGACTTCAGCAGAGGGACGGCGAGAATGGGGAGCATGGCCGACGAGCACGTCCAAGCACAGGTGAGGCGCACGTATAGCTACCAACAAGTGCCGAGACGAAAAGCTGATCACACGTACGTGACGGCGCGCAAGCGTATGCCCACATGCGTACTCGTGCTGTGTGTTGATCCATAAGGCCACTCCTGCCTTCCCCTTGGACTCGGCTGCTGCGGTGATGACAAGAAAATCCCCTGCTGGTGTCCAACCGTTCCGACACAAACGAGTCTCAAGCGTGCCAACCACATGAAAGTTGTGCGCAGAGAACTGATGAGCCAGTGCGAGCATGCGTCCGGGCAAATCAAGGCCGGCCGCATCTTGGTACCGACATCGTATCCGAGTCCCTCTCCCTCGTCGGGCAGCCTTCCTGCGGGGCCGCAGTGTGAGTGCGTTCGCCACTGCAAAATTCACCTGAGGCTGCAAACCTGATGTCGCATATACTCGTGGCACAGACGAGTTTTCCGAGCCGCGGCCAGCAGGTGGCGAGAAGGCAGATCTGATATCTAGCTCAGGAGGGTTGATGGAGGGCATTTCGCATGCGCCAACATTCGGATACTCCCCAAGACCGAAGTTGGAATTGGCAGACATCCACATCCATGGTACAAGAGAGGCAGACGCAAGCAAAACTGACCACGGTTGAAAGTCAGGATCTACTGTCGGCGCAATTCCCATGGAAGCCAGTCGGGCTATGGTATCTGCAAGCTCATTCAGCGGATCGGCATTGTGGCCGTGGACGTGATTCCAGCTCAGCTTCGTAAACTGACGTAATAGCTTGAGGGCCCCATCAATAGCCATGGGAAATCACCACACGACGCGTATCTCGTTCCCCCGTCGGCCGCGGAAACCACCAGCATGTTATCTGTGTATACCACCACGGTATGGGCCCGAAAACGGGGAGGAGCTTGCAATAACCATAGTACCAGCCACAGAGCAGCTTGAAATTCTGAAGCGCCAGACGGGCTCGCAACAGAGGTGGGGAGATCAGGATCGACACCGCACAAGTACCCTTCACAGATGTACCTGCCTGTCGACGTAATTGTTGCCCAAGACGGTGGTCCACCCAAGTGCTGTTGTTTGGTCCCTCCAGACCCATCAGTATGTACCTCCATCCTGACAACCTGCTCACTGTCGGGGGGGGAGAAGCTCCGTGGGTCTCAAAAAAATGGCAGGTACTACTATGAAGGTAAGGGTGAAAGAGGCAATGATCAGGCATTTGAGATGGCCCAAGAAAGACGGGAGTGAGAGAGCAAGATAGCCAGGGCTGACAAAGTAGCCTGACTAGATCGGTGCAATCCGGTATTGGGCAGCGTGGCTGCTGCTGGGCCTCGGACTCCATCCGAGGCGGCGAGGCAGTCGGCGTGGCTGGCGGCGCGCCAGTCGCGGGCGGGCCGTGAGACGGGGCTGTGGCGGCCCTCTCACTCCCCGAGGCCCGCCCGCCGTGACGCATCACCCCAGCGTCGACGCCGCTCCCTCGCTCTCTGCTGTGGAGCTGGCGCGGCCCCCGCACAGCAAGAAGCCGTCAGGCCCATCACGTCGAGGGCTCTGGCTGCGGCTGTGCCGCTGGCGGCGGTTCGCCGCCCCCGCGGCGGCCTCCTCTCCGGCCTCAGCGGCGGCGGCAGCACGGCCGTGCGGCGACGGCGGCAGGGCGCCGCGGCCACGGTGGCTGCTCGCGCCTGGACGCGCTGACGCCTGGCGAGCGAGAGCCGCGCGCAGTCCCTGTTGACCATCAGGGCGGCGGGCGCGGTCTGCAGCCTTCCTCTCAGCACGCTGAGTCGACCGCGCCTTGCGGGCCGCCTCGGCCGAGGCGGCAGCAGCAGCATCCTCCTCGGCGCTGACTGGCACCTCGGCGGCCGCGGCGGCGGCGGGTCCAGCAGCGCCCACGGCCGCTCTCGCGGCGGCGGCAGGCGGCGGGGGCCCCTCCAGGGGGGCGCGGGCCACAGGTGCGGCGGCCGGCACGGCGTAGGCCGCGGCAGGGGCCTCAGGCCCAGGCGCGGGGGCAGCCGCGGCGCCTGGTGGCCCCAGGCGCTGGGGGGGCCCTGCGAAGGGCCGCACGTCGGGCGCGGGCATAGCCGTCCCGCCAGGCGCCGCTTCGCCGCGGGCCGCCGCCATCTGGCCCTGCATCGACGTCAGCAGCTGCGTGGGGCCGACGAGCTGCTGGGTGAGCGCCGCCTGGCCAGCCTGCAGCTCCGCGATGGCCGCGATGGGCGGCGCGAGGTCGGGTGGCGTGCCTGGGGCCGCATCGCCCTCAGCGCCCGCCACGGGCGTCGGCGCGGCGGGCTCCTCCATCGGCTCGTCGCCCGTGGGGACCATGGCCTCGAGCTGCTCCAGCAACGTCTTGGCCCGTCCGAGGGCCTCCGTGCGCTGCGCCACCTTCGCCTCCTGCTCGGCGAGCTCCTCTCGCGCCCGCGCCGCAGCAGCCTCGGCCTTCTCGAGCTTGCC